CTGCTAGTACAGTAGCTCTACATTAAGGCTCCATAAAGGCTCCATAAAGGATCTATTGAACAATAGCTGCGTTAGTTGTTTCAGCTTCTCACATGTGCGTCCAGCTTCTACAAGAAATTAATCCAGCCAACCAGTGGTTTTTATGTAAAGTCTTATTCAACAGCCAAGTTGAAGAAAGCAATATTCTGTAGGCAGCGGTGCAGACGGGTCAAATTAAGAGCTGGTGTCTCTCACAGGTTTGCCCGATTACTTCTAGTTTTTTCCCTTACATTTAAAGCTACTAAATTAAAAGACAATGCTGACAAAATAAGGTCTAAAAATCTCATCACAACTGTAAGAATGATTGCTACGGTAATGATCAAGCATCTGCACTCACTGGCCAAAATATTAGGACGTGCCAATCAAACGAGTGGACTGAATGATAGAATGAGAATGAATGAGGCACTCGAGACAGCTTCCCCAGTCAGGACAGCCCCCAGTTCTCAATCCTCTTGAAAACTGCTGGAAAGCAGTGGAAAACACAGAACATGCAACTCAACAACCTCAGCTCAAGGTTATCCCGTAGGGGGAAAGGGGGTTTGATTGCAGTATTTCAAAATCTAAGAACATAAGAACGGTTACTGACCAACGGAGGCATTTCAGCCCATCCCAGCCCATTTGAGTTAATTGATCCAAGGATCTCATTCGGCCGTTTCTTCACAGAAATCAGTGCACTGGCTTCAACCCCACGGCTGGGCAGGTTGTCCCACGCCTCCACCACACTGAACCACCCCCTGCTCATAGTTCTAAGTGCATGCCCACACATGAAGTGCATTTTATCAAAGTACAGAATATGCTTCAATTTCTAGGAGCACTGGAAGTGCCTGTGGACCCTGTACAGGACTGGGGGGAAAGAAATAATCTTTTCCTTTCAGTACCTGAGGCGGTTTCATAGCCCGGACAGCTTAAAGAGTCTACAGCAGGTGGTAGGTCTTGAAGGGACATTTTTATCGTGCAAATTCAGCCTTTACGACCACTTGCAAAGTGGAAAGATTGAGAATGGACAATCACCTTGTGGGTTTTTTTGTACATGGGTGGTGGTTTAGTCTTGCAATGTTAGAATCGTATTCTTTGGGAGAGTGCTTACATGTGTACATTGTTGTAATAAAGTTTATTTTCTTTAAAAAATTGCTGTGTCCTGTTCTTTCTGTTCAAATTTCATCATCAGAATATTCACTGACCACGAGTGTAGTTCTTTTCCTGTCACGCCTCCCCAAGACAACAAGACACAGGAGGCTTATTTTCAAAGGTTCTCTGGCTGTTAACACTAATACACTTTTATGCCAATATATTTAAAGGCTTCAAAAGGGGGAGCTTGATATCAGTATGGTTAGTTAGTTATTTTCTGATGTGTTTTGTGAAATAATAAATAATAAACTGTTCTCCGAAGGTAGAATTGGTAGTAAATATTAATACAGTATCTGCAAGTCTGCTTTCTATGCACTTCATACTGGACAAAAGAAATATTGGGCCAATGTGAAAAAAGACCGACAGAATTTCAGAATCACTTACCGTTGTAGAATACTTAAGCTGGGCTACAAAGGATTCAGGGTAGTA